ATGTTCCAAGCTTTGTTGATATCTAAATATAGGGTCTTACAACAGCGGCCCGAAGGGCTTGGTCATAGGCCTACATAGCTAACGGGAAACTATAGCCACGAAGCGGCCTTTTATTACATCATGGTGGTCTCTAGTACGATGGTATTATACAGCGTAGCGATATCCTATCCACAGGCAAGCTCGAGCGCGGTCGAAACCCTAACTTCGATGTCTTTTACCTACGATCGAAATCCTCGCGTAACTCCTAGTCCTCGTGGCATGCTTCCTCGTCGAAGTCTTGGTCCTCCTCAGTGCCAAAGTTGTGAGTCAACAACGGGTGAGTATATACGTACTCAGCAAGCTCTAACCATAGGGTGGAAATAGAAGTGGTGTGGTGATTAAATTAAAGGGGCTGGGTCCTAGCGGAGCATTTCCATTCCCACTAGTCCTCGGGTTAGTTCCAAGTTGCATTACCAGTTTCATTATACATAAAAGTAAAGCTAATCATAGGTGACCTCATCCTAGCATCTTCCCATTCCAAGGACGTGGCTATTCGAATAGATTCATCAAACTCTGCAGAGGTGTACAAGTTTCCCCACACGATAGACGCAATCCCATCCATGATCAGTAGACGGGATAGGCCTAACGAAACCCCGTACCCGAAAGTACGCGACCTTAGATTTTCATATAACTCTACTACGGCTTCTCAGAGGTTGGAAACACACTAATCTCGGGAGGATACCTAATCATCCCATCTCATAATCCCGGATGATACCACATCATCCCTTCATATAATCTTGGATGATTCCAAATCATCACAATATAACAGTGCCGATGATGCCTAATCATCATAATAAACAACAATATCGGCTCGAACGCGGCCAAAACTCAAGGGGCTTAACGTGGAAGACCACATAGCAACCACGCCAACCGGGCCACGGAAGATCACGTAGCATCCGTGCCTTCTCCTGATATTCCACTGCCTACACCGGCCTTCTAGTAGAAATTATACTTCTATCGAACGGGGTGTGGAGTCAAGTCTACCCATATTAGACGTGTGGCTGTACATAAATTCTCACTAGGTGAGATGGCCTATGAACCGGTCCTTGTGTGACCGAGGCGAGTATCTCCCACAGGATCCCTATCCAAGCGATCCTACCAAGACAACTTATCCCACATAAGTTATCCCCACTCATCCTCTGTCAGGGTTTCATTTCAAGTTTACCATTTTTAAGTTCAACAAATTATTATCCCTAGGTTGCACTTATGTCATGGAGCTCATAAAGTAATAAGATAGCCATTATCTTAATTCAACATTAAACATATCGTAGAAACCGAGCTCATATTCCAGGATAATAATTAAGTTTACGCATTGGATAATAATTAAATCAGGATGGTAGAAGGGAGGGGGAGCTAGGACTTGCCTTCGCTGTTGTCTCCTTCTGGCACGTCTACATAGTCCGGGTTATCTTTCTCCTGGTAGTCACCGTCGTCTATCGGGCGTAGCTATCGAATAAGACTACCGCCAAACATAAAATAAAAAGGGCAAAAGCAAACATAGAACAATATGGTGGTACCTGGTGAAATGCATAGAACTAGATTTTAGATGAATTTTAGAAGTGGTTTCATGCACATTGGAGATAGGATGCAAAAGTTATGTATTTTAGAAGTTTAACCTATATTTAATTAACTAAGATGGAATTTTACATGTATTTTCTAGTGCATGGAAAAATGTGCAAACTACATGATTAATTTCCTTATTGCATCTAGTTTATCTACAAATTTTCTGGAAATTTTTCTAAGTCCGAAAAATGGATTTCTAAGCCTCTTTGTACAATACTCGGGTGCACCTAGCATTTTTAGTTAGTGCACCCGGCGCTGTGTGTGTGCGTGTGACGTGTGTGGCTGACTGGTGGGGCTGCGGGGGTGACGACGTCATGGCTGCAAGCCCGCCCGTCAGAGGAAGAAAGGGAGAGGGGGAAGGGTAACGGATGGGGATGACCGTTAATAAAGCGGCGTCACCGTCCAGTCCCACATGGCAGTGAGGGAAGCGAGAGAGAGAGGGGAGACGGCAGCCGGACGGGTTGCCGTCCTAGCGTCGGAGAATAGTGGAGGGGGCTCGGGTTCACCGGAGCGGTTACGCCGGCGAGGCTGAGCCCCGGTGCGGGTGGTGAGGTGGTGGACGAGGCTTGGGAGGCCAAGCCGTGGCCGTCGGTGGTGATCTGGGTGCCGGGGGAGGACTGTGGTGGCGGTGGCGGCTCACCGGAGAAAACACGGTGGCACCGCGCGATGAACTTGGCCTTAGAGGCCCTAACCAACCTAAATAGCTACATGTACGTGGGTGTGGGTGTGAGGCGAGTGCAACGGTGGCAGTGGGGTGCTCAGCCGAGCCCTGCCAGCGGCGATGGTCGGCCACGGCGGCCCGGCGGAGCACGGTGCTCGATGACAGTGCAACACAGAGCGAAAGATGATTATTTAGCTATGGCGGAAGGTAAAGGGGAGGCTCTAGGACTCACTTGCCTCACCAATTGGCTCGGGATGCAGCAGAGAAGGAGAGAGGGGAAGAACGGCTCCAATGGCGACGACGGCTCTGATTTGGGGGAAAATGAGCTAGAGCTCGGGAGGAGGGTGGAGAAGGGAAAAGGAGGGGGAGATGGGGTGTTCTAGCTCCTAGTGGAGCTCTGAGTGAGGAGGGTGAGGGTGGAGCGTCACCAACCGAGCCTATTTATAGGTCGGCAATAGCAGTTCGAACGGCGAGATATTTTCTCGCCGCGCGCACCGCCATTGCACGCGCTCGTGCTCAAATTAGCAAGGTCAGTTCGCCACAGTGCGGTCGTACCCATGCGTGCGGTGGGGGTTGCTTGGCGGCTACCCATGGTGGTGTTGGTGGGGAGCGGCCATGGCACCGCGTGTCGATGGTGGCACAGTGAAAGAGAGAAGGGAGGGGAGGAGCATCAGTGGGCCCAAGGGGGTTCGCGAGAGTGCGGTTGGCCTTATGCACATGGTGCTGGGCGAGCGGGGCGCAGCCATGGTGGTGTGGCCGAGGCGGGCGCCATGACACGGTATTCCTGTTGTCTGGAGGTAGACGACGGGGATGACATGCGGGCCCCATCCGTCAGCGAGTGAGAGAGGGGGAGGGTGTGGACGCGCACGGGATGGGCCGAGTGGCGGTGATGGGCCGGCCCATGCAGAGGGGAAGGAAGAGGAGGAGGGAGGGCTGTTGCTGCTGTGGGCTGAGAGGGGAAGGGAGGGAGGAATGAGCCCAAGTGGCCTTTTTCATTATCCAAATCTTTTTCCATTTCCCAGATTTGTTATGCATTTGTTTTGAATGCATTTGAATTTAAATTTGGATGTGTATGCATGTAGGGTGTACCACCATTTGTTCACAAGCAAGCAAACACTCCTTCACACAAACCACACATTAGGTTTTTGTTCCTATGTGAAACTATTTCTAATAAATTAACACCTATGCTAGCGGTATTTATTAGTTCCCATGCGAGTTTTAAAAAGTTCAAATTTTTAGTGTTTTTTAAATTAGGTCAAAAATTCAGGGTGTTACACTCTCCCTCTCTCCCTGTGCCTCTTGTCTCCCTGGGTCTACCCCCTCTCTGCCCTAGCCACCACCTCCCACCCTCCCTGCGCCTACACCACCGGCACCCCCCCAAGTGAGGTTCATCACAATAGCCCATTTCTTTGAAATCTTCTTGTTTGGAATTTAAACATTCGTGAAACCAAAATGCAAATATGTCATGTTCATGTTTTTCTAGTTCTTTTCATATAGTAAATGCATGACCAACTAGCTCTTTGGTAGCTTTAAGCAACAATTGCGTGCATGCAAATTAGCTAGAGTGAATTTTCAAAGAGTAGTACCAACTACCGAAGGCTCTATATATATAGAGGACTGTGGCTTGAATAATGCTAATGAAATAGTTAGACATATGCATGAGTCCAAATTTTGTTCTGAAATTTTCACTGTTTTTTATTAGATCTATTGTGTGTCATTTCCATCTCTGAGGCATAGGAGAGAACCAACCTATTTGTCATGGCTGGAGTATGTATGTTCAAAATCCTAAAGAAAACGCCTACCACTAGCATGCTTTGCCTACAAGCTCTTGCATAGTTGTGTGATTTGCTATACCAATAATGTTGTCTAGATCCCCTCTTTTGAAATTACTCACCAACCAGGTGAAAGCAGTCTTGTTTTCATCATCTATTTTTGGAAAGAGATTGGACAAGGAGGTTCTAAAATTTTCATGTTAGGGTGACAAAATAAGATATGTATGTTGAACCATAGATGTTACCGTGCTTCTTATGTCATGAGGCTTACATCTATGGTAGGACTATTGCACTCTTGGTTGCATGCAAACCATATGTTGCAATGAAGAAACATTTCAGATGATTTTATCGGATATACATATTTCCAAAGAGGAAGACCATTTGATGTTCTAGTTTGTTATTACCATGACTGTCTTAGAGCAACTCCAAAAGATTAGGCTAGCCAAAACCGAGCCCGCAGGGCTGAGCTGACCGCGCGATGCCACCGCCCCTGCCGGCGCGCGCCCCCGCCGGGGTCGCCCGCGTGCGCCCTTGCTGGGTCGCCTGCACCCCCCGCAACTCTGCGCTGGCGCAGCCCGGTGGCTCACGCATCTCCCCGCCAACTTTGCGCCATCACGACATGCTCTCGGTGTTCGTCTTCATCGTGGTATCCCTCTCGGTAATCTGGCCACAGTGGAGTAAAGAGATGAGTGAACTTTCCTCCCCCTCGCCGCGGGCGTCGAGGTGGGCGGCCGCCCCCCTCTCCTAGTCCCGGCAGCTCCCTTGCCTAACTCCGGTAAGCTCCCATCCTCCCCCTCCCTTGGCTCCCTCCGCTGTCGGCGGTGTGGTGGGGCTTTTGCCTCCCCTGCCCTGCTGGGTCTCTCTTCTGGTCATCATACTGGGAGCTTTGCTCCTGTCGCTTCTGGCGAGCTTTGCTTCTGCTGTCGCTGGTCTGGCTCTGAGCCGGTCTTTGTCACCGTTGCTCCATGGCTGGTGTGGCTTCTCGGGCGGCGGGGGCCGAGTTTGCACAGTTTGTCTTCGGCAAATATGGAGTCAGAGTTGCCTCTTCTCCCCCTTCTGGGTCAGATTTCTCGTTGCTAGTGGCATTTGGCAGATGTCGCTTTCGTCTAGAGGAGGAATTTGTGAAGCAAACTCTTCGCTCGATCCTGGGTAATACTAAAGATTCGTTCAATGCTTGTTTGATTGATGAGAGGATCTTTCTGTTTACTATTTCTTGCAAGGAGGTTGGGTTTGAAGTTTGCAAAATCAGAAGCTTTGAATGTGCGGATTACAAGCTCTCTTTTCATCTCTTTAATGAAGCTGGTCTTGCAAGTGCTAATGCTTTGGTTTCTGCTTCGGAGAGGCAATCGTTCCCCTGGATGGAAGTTGGTCCCAAGCAGAAAGTCTCTTTTGCAGATATGGTGAAAAAGCCTGCTTCAGTTCTTTCGGGAGCAAATTCAGTCCCCATTGGAAAATTCCAGGGCTCATCTTCTGCTGCTTCAATCCCTGCTCCTCGGACTGGCAGAAAATCAGTCTTTGATATATTAAAGTTTCCTCGAACCTTTGTTTTTGATCGGATTATTTGGCCAAATGTGGATGATCTTGCTGGCAAAAGTGCTTATCGTTCTCTAGCAGTAATTGGTCAAGAATCGCCAGGGGATCAAGATACTTGCTTGGATCTTCAGTTGGGATTATCTTCCTTGTCAAGATCTTGTGCTCCTACTCTTTCAAATTCAAATTCTACTGAGGTACGTTCAGTTAATGGGGGCTCTTTGGGCACTGTGAAATGCCGGCGCTGTCTTTCATCGACTCATTCGAGAAGAAGCTATAATTACCCTATTAAGTGCAGTAGTGCTTGGGTTGGGGTCACATTGAATTAAATTGCACCGTGATTGGCAAAGGCTTCAAAATTTAGTGGCTGGGAGACCGGTTGATAATTTCTCCAAAAGCAGTCTCCTCGGGCTTGATGTCTCGAGCTGGTTCGAGCCACCGGCCTCACTGACTGTGGACCCAGCACCTCCAGTAATTTCCCAGGTGGTGATCGCCTCCCAAGATGACTCTTCGGCTGCCGATACTGTTCACAGGGGAGGCTTTTTAACTGAAGCCGGTGGAAATTCTCTAACTCAGTTGCACTCAGCAAACCCCGATCCCACTTCTTGTCATCCTAGTGCTACATTGCTTTCGGCCATGGCGTATCAAAGGGCTGATCCTCGCATCTTTGTTCCTCAAGGGTTGGAGGCCATGGAAGTCCAAGGGCGGCCACCCATGGCAAGAGTGGTTTGCCTTCGACCGGGAGCCAAGAACAATGATCTGGCAATAGTCACCATCAATCCTATGCCAGAAGTGCAGGTAACCTTCCAAGCTATCCATGAGATGGTGTCTGATTTTGTGAATGAAAGGAATATTGGGTTTAAAAGCATTCAGCCGACACATTTGGGACAGGCTTTAGTTAGATTCTGCAATTAATATCATAGAGATTAGTTGATTCTTAATGGCCATATTGCCTTTGGTAACATCACGCTTACTTTCGTTGAGCACAATAAGGGCAGAAATTGGAGGGCATTCAACTTTAATCGTGTCTGCTGGCTCATGCTTTTGGGGTTCCCCAGGACTATAGAGAAGATGAATATGTGGTGAATGCTATTAGCTCATTTGGAAGGGTGATAAACTGGGTGGATGATCCTGACTATATTAACAGGCTTCTGATTAGAGCTAGGGTCAGCGATTTAGAGGCAGTGCCCAACTTTCTGGTTTGCACTGAGAGGGAGGACCACCATGGTGAGTCCTGGATAGTTCAGTGTGAAATTCTCTCAGGTGAGCTGCTTGGTGGGCTTCTAGCTGATGAGGACCCTGCTCTAGGGCCTGGTGATATCCCACCTAATGGGCCATTTGATTTCTTTGGCTTTGGTCAGTTAGGGCCTAGGAATTTTGGAGGACAACAGTAGCAACAGCAGCAATTTGGCCCCCAGCCCAATATGGGAGGACAACCAGGCATTGAGGTTTAGGAATAGATGGAGCAGCCAATGGAGGGTGCTGCTGATTGGGCTATCTGGCCGAACAATGAGATGCAAGTTCCATTCAATTTAAATGATCTGCCTCCTGATCCAATTCCTAATCTGAATGAAGCTCTTGTTGATCCTGTTGAAGTGATCACAGACCCACCTATCAACTATCATCCCTCTTCCTTATGGGCCTGCTCCAAATGTTTTTCTTGATCAAGTTAATGAGTATAAGGAGGAAGAAGAGGAGGCTAATGAGCTCCTAAACAATATGAATAACATTGAAGATGAAAATGTTGTTCAGCAGCCGGTTGTTGAAGTGAACTTGCCAGTCCTGAACCATCCCATGGAAAATTTTCTTGCAGAAGAGATTGATGAAGATCAGTTGATTGATGTGGAAATGGAGCAAGTGGAAGAGATTTAGCCCCAAAATCTTCATGTGGGTGCTGTTCTTTTGCCTGATAGTGGAGCTGGTGACCCGGTTTTCATTCAGAGACAGAATTTAGCAATGGGGGTCATGCCAGATATTTGTCAGTATTTTCTCCCTTCCCAACCACACATAGTGCCTACTTGTGTGGTCCCTGCGACCTGGGTTAATTTTTTCACAAGCCTTCGAGTATCTCCACAACACTTTTAGTTTGCTAGAGACCTGACCAATTCAAAGCTGCCTGTCTCTCTTCTGGATTCTCAGACTAGAATTGGTCTCGTTGTCCCTCCTGCATGCCCTGATAGGCTTACCATCAACTGTCCTTACATTACTCCAGAGGCTGGTGCAGATGAGAAAGATGACAACATTGTTCCTCCAAGTAGTCCTGGTGATAAGGGGTCAGTCTCTGACTCCTCCCTGAAGAAAAGGGCCAGAAAGAAGGCAGTGGTTGTAGAAAGTCAAGTAAGGAGAAGCCCCAGGTTCAAAGAACTGAAGAAGGGATTCAAAAGCCCTCAGTGCAAGAATAGAAGCTGTTTGGGATGCAATTCTGCTCCCCCCTCCCTGTCCACCAAAACCATCAGAAAGATTGGGACAGAAATATGCAACATTGACCCAGCCAAGCTGACTGATGAGGAGCTGACCAAGAAGAAGAAGATGACTACTCCTGTGGGGAGAGGTCCCTCCCTTGACAAGGGAGAATCTTCCAATCAATCTGCCAATGAAGAAGGATCCCCCAAGATTTGAAGATTGCTGGTCTGTGATGGCTAGCAGTTTCTTTTATTTTGCTACTTTCAGACTTTGTTCATGGTTGTGGGCCTTATCTTAATCTGCAGTTGTTTGACCCATGGTGGGGGCTCTTTTATTTCAGTAAAACTGCTTTTAAGTTGTTTGGGTGTCTTAGTACCTATGTTATGCATACTGTACTTGCCCATCTCTCTCCCCCCTCTTAGTTTAAATGAATCATATGCCTAATTTCAGAGCTTGGAATGTTCTTTGTTGGAACATTAGATGGATCAATTCTGTAGAAAATTGGGACTCAGTTAGAGATAAAGTAGTGGAAAGTGGCTGTGACATCTTTTGCTTATAGGAGACCAAAAGAGAATTTTTTGATCTCATGTATATTAGAAAATTCTCTCCCTCCTCTTTTGACTCCTTTAGCTTTGTGCCCTCTGTTGGCAATTTAGGAGGCATTTTGATAGTTTGGAAAAGTTCTATTTTTAGTGGCAGTGAGCTGTTTCAAAATAGATTTGCCATTTCTATGGAGTTCACATCTCTCTGTAATGGAGCTACTTGGATTTTAACTGGGATATATGGGTCATGTATTCATGAAGAGAAAAGGAGCTTTCTTGATTGGTTTGGTAGTATTGAAATCCCAGATGATGTGGACTGGCTGGTTATTGGGGATTTTAATCTTATTAGAAAGCCAACTGACAAAAACAGGCCTGGTGGAAATTCTACAGAAATGCTTTGGTTCAATGAGGTAATTAGCTCACTTGGAATTATTGAAATCCCCCTTCACAGCAAGAGGTACACATGGACAAACCAGCAGAATCTCCCTCTTCTTGAGAGATTGGATTGGTTTTTTACCTCCATGTCCTGGACTCTAGTTTATCCTTCAACTTTTGCTCATCCTCTGACTCTTGAAACATCTGACCATTGTCCTTGTGTCATTGAGATCAAAACTGAAATACCAAAGGGGAAGGTTTTCAGATTTGAGAATTGTTGGATGTTGCATGATAGTTTTTTTGCCTTTGGTCGAGTCATGCTGGAATTATCCCACCAATCTTCCTGACCCTGCTAAGAATCTGACTGCCAAATTCAAAAACCTGAGAGGTGCATTGAGGTCTTGGCAAAGGCAGCTATCAAAATTAAAAGAACTGATCTCCAATGTCAAGCTAGTGCTTTCTTTTCTGGATGTTATTGAAGAAAGAAGGGACCTTTCTATATTGGAATGGAATTTTAGAGAATTGGTCAGCAGCAAATTAGTGAATCTTCTTCATCAACAGAGAGTATATTGGAGGCAAAGGGGAGCAATAAAATGTGCTAAACTGGGAGATGAGAACACCAGCTTTTTTCATGCAAATGCCACAATTAAACACAGAAGAAATCTGATCACATCTCTTATGGATTCTTCTGGGAACATGGTTCAGGATCATAATCTCAAGGCTGATATTCTCTGGGCAAGCTTCAAGGATAGACTTGGATATTCAAATCATCAGGAAATGCTTTTTGACCTACCTTCCTTGTTTGGTGTTAATCCTGTTCTGTCCCACTTGGTTCAGCCTTGCACAAGGAAGGAAATTGATGAAGTTATCCAAGCTCTGCCTTCTGACAAGTCCCCTAGGCCTGATGGATTCAATAAAAACTTCATTAAGAAATGTTGGAGGATTATAAAACATGCCTTTTACAAGCTGTGTGATGAGTTCTATCATGGTAATATCTGTCTCAGAAGTATAAATAGCTCCTTCATCACACTTATTCCAAAAGTTGATGGGCCTGTCAATGTGAATGACTATAGGCCCATTTCTTTGCTCAATTCTTCTGTCAAGATCCTGACCAAACTGCTTGCCAATAGGTTACAATCTGTTATCACCAGTCCAGTGCATAAAAATCAATATGGATTCATCAAAGCTAGGTCCATTCAGGATTGCCTAGCATGGTCATTTGAGTATCTTCACTTGTGTCATAAGTCTAGAAAAGAGCTTGTGATCCTGAAGTTAGACTTTGAAAAGGCTTTCGATAAGATTGAGCATGACGCTGTCATCCAAATTTTGCAAGCCAAAGGCTTTGAGGAGAGGTGGATTGATTGGATGAGATCTATCTTCACTTCAGGGACTGCTGTTGTGCTCCTTAATGGAGTTCCTGGGAAGGTTTTTCATTGCAAAAGGGGGTGAGGCAGGGGGATCCCCTGTCACCTCTGTTATTTGTGCTTGCTGCTGATTTGCTTTAGTCCATTGTCAATAAGGCCAAAGATCAAGGACTTCTCAACCTTCCAATACCCTTCAACTATTCTAATGACTTTCCTATCCTACTGTATGCAGACGACACCTTGATTATCCTTGAAGGATGTGGAAGGCAACTTTTTGTGCTAAAAGCTTTGCTCAATTCTTTTGCATCTTCCACTGGCCTGAAGGTTAATTTCTAGAAATCTATGTTGGTGCCCATCAATGTTAGTCCTGAAAGGCTCCTTCATCTTGCCTCCACTTTTGGTTGTGGTACTGGTAGCTTGCCTTTTACATATCTTGGTCTTCCCCTAGGCATTACCAAACCAAGGATTGATGACTTTCTGCCTTTTATCACAAGATGTGAGAGAAGACTAGTCAATACTTCTTTATTTCTTTCTCAGGCTGGTAGGCTGCAAATTACAAACTCAGTTTTTTCTGCTTTGCCCACCTTTTTCATGTGCACCTTTGCCCTTCAAGGTGCAGTGATTGATCAGATTGATAAGTATAGGAAGCACTGTCTGTGGAGAGGGAATGACATCAATCATAGAATTAATGCCAAAGCTGCCTGGCCTACTGTTTCAAAGCCCAACAAGATTGGTGGTTTAGGTGTTATTGACCTAAGAACACAAAATGAGGCCCTTTTGATCAAGAATCTTCATAAGTTTTTCAACAGGGTGGATGTTCCCTGGGTTCATCTAATCTGGAAGAAGTACTATTCAAATGGCAAGCTACCCAATCATGTTAGAAGGGGGTCCTTTTGGTGGAGGGATGTTTTGAAGCTTCTTGATAAGTTCAAAGGTTTGGCCTCGGTTAGTATAGCTGATGGAAGTTCCTGTCTTCTTTGGGATGACATGTGGGATGGCAGAGTTCCAAGGTTTGCACTCCCTGAGCTCTATTCTTTTGCTAAAAAAACAAGTCTGTCTCTCCAACAAGCCATGAATCAGCTTGAAGTGGGATCTCTCTTCAATCTTCCTCTTTCTATGGGGGCCTTGATCAGTGGCAATTTTTAGAAACTGCCATACAGAATCTCCCTTGGTCTGACAACAGAGACTCATGGAGTTATATTTGGAACAACAATATATATTCTTCTTCAAGGGCTTACAAACATTTGATGGGGCAAAATTGGGTTCACCCAATATTTAAATGGTTATGGAGATCTTCGTGCCAACATAAACACAAGATCTTTTTCTGGTTGCTCTCCTAGGCTTAGCATCAGGAACATTTTGAGGAGGAAAAATATGCATCTTCCAACTTATAACTGTATCATGTGCAATGATTCTTGTGAGGAGACTGTTCTGCATCTGTTCCTCTATTGTCAGTTTGCACGGGCCTGCTGGAATATCGTTGGTGTTCAAATTCCAGACTTGGAGGATCCTTTGCAGACGATAGAAGCTATCAAATCTCAGCTTAATGTTTCCTTTTTCATGGAGGTTATCATCTTATTGTGCTGGAGTATTTGAACTGTCAGAAATGGATTTATTTTCAGAGGTGAAGCGATATCGTTGGATAGATGCAGACACCACTTCAAAGAAGTCTTTGGCCTAGTTATTCTCAGGGCAAAGAAGAAGCACATCCCTTTGATTGTCTCATGGCTAGAGCAGCATATGTAATTTACTTGATTTTCTTTACTTCCTTTTTTGTTTCTTGAATTCTTGCCCTCCCCTGCTCTGCTTTTTTCTCTGTTCCTCTGTACTTGTACTGTTGGTTTTGGTTAATTTATTTCAGTAGGGATCAACCTCTGATCCCTCCTGTTTCCTCCAAAAAAAAAAACTCCAAAAGATTAGCCAAAAGAAGATTCAAAATTTATTGATTTAGCTATTTTTGAAAGTAAACCGCATGCACGGTGCTAGATGCGTCATGTGCCTATGTGGCTGCATCCCCGTCCCCATTCATCACCGACGTCGAGGTAGAGCCCTCACGCATTCCGCCATTGTGGGCATTCAGTCATGGTGAACCACTGCAGCAGTCACCAGAACTAAAGCCGAGCGCATTATACGACACACAGGTAGCAAATCGTCAGCAGCATCGGTCGGTGCAGAACCCGTGGATGTTGTCCTGGTACATGCCGCCACAATGGACCCCCCGCCCCCTCTCACCGACGCTGTTGCTATCGTTGGACCTGCACGGCGACCTGCCGCTCCACTTCATTGTGAGGAAGCGCCTCAAGCCGTCCAAACTCAGCCGGACGGTGCATAGAGTAGGATGCACGAGATGTGACCATGACAGAATGGTATATTGGAACCGAAAACAAATGTGGACTCGCTGCTGAATTCGTGCTCATGGGGGCGGGGAGACATATGGCACAGCTAGATGTCAGCGTGTGGAAGAGGGAGATGGTGTGGAGGAGAGGGGATCATGCGGACTTGGCGAGTGAGCTGGCGATCGCCTTCTATGCCGAGCGAAAATTGAGGGATAGCCCGTGGCTATTTGATAGAATGAGATGGACAGTCCGTTGGAGACCCATTTTACACCGAATTCTCCAAATCGGATTACACAATAGAAAAAATAGCAAAGTCACTTGGAGTTGCTCTTTATTGAACTACAAATGCCAATAGGCAATTTCGCCTTTGATTCGTTGTTGTGCTATAATAGTTTGGTGCACCTAGCGAAGTCACATATTGTTTTTTGCTAGGACTATAAACTGAGTTCCTAATATTTACAACCTGCATCATCTTCCTGTACATTTTTTAATGGCCGTTTGATAGCAGAGCATTCTTACCGTCCTAACATTGTGTGGATCGATAGCCTGCAAAGGTCAAGATAGTTTTTTTTGCCGTTTAAATGACATGAATCCTGATG